TTCTATTTTTAATGCCCATCCTGCTTTCCAAAGTGGCTGCTCCCATTTGCATTCCACCAACAATATGCACAAACTTTAAAGCAGCTCACTTTAGGCAAACACTAAATACATGTTAAAGTAGATGTTGTGCCTCTTTTTTTTTGAAAGACACAGTTTCTTTAACTACATTTCTTAAAGACAGTCTTTCCTCTGCTTGGCCTCTACCATCAGGCCTGGGACTAGTTTTTGAGACAGGAAAAGAAGTGATGGTAGCAGTGGGTTCCAGGAGACAGTTTTTCACTGCCCCATCCCTTTCCTGGGACAGCCCTTAGAGAGCCAGCTCCCCCCCACCCCCCAGCCTGATTCTCAGCAGAGGCCACAGATGGGCCCCTGGAGCATCCAGGGGGAGGAAGGGGCAGCTCTTCAGAGTGGATAGTGGTGCAGTCACAGGGGACTTCAGAGTCATAGGACCCAGGGTCAAATTTGGATTTAGTTGCCTAGTACATATGTGTCTTAACTTCTTAGAACTTTACAGTTTTCTCATCTATAAAATGGGATAATACTCTGGACTTCAAAGGTTGCGTGGAGGTTACATGAGATAATGATGTAAATTGCTTGGCACAGAAGAAGTACTTAGTAAGTGGTCACTATTATGTGTATAGACAGAAGGCAACCCCAAGTCAGGAACTCCAGCCTTGGCCAAGAAAAGGGATTTTCCCCCATTCAGGGTGCGCCTGGCTATAAGGAGTGGGTGAAAGACACCTAGACCTGAAACACGCCACCCACCCAGACGTCATTTAAAAACAGGCCAATTCTAATTGTAGGCCTTCCTCCTGCCTCCTCCTCTCTCAGCTCATGGGCAACGTCAGTCAGCGGCCTTCCTGCCCAGTGAGCTTCCCTGTCAGGGCCTCTTCCTTCCTGTCCCCCTCTGGCTGCCCCGTCTGTCCTCTGCCATTTCCCTTCCCTCCTTTGTTCAGTGCCCTTGCCCTGCCCACACCCCACCCTCACCCGCTCTGCCCTTCCGTGGGCTCAGCCCTCACTATGTCCTCTCCTCCCCCTGCAGGCCTGGCCCTGGACAGACTAAGCGCCCCAGACCCGGCCTGGATGGCCAGGCTCTCTTTGCCCCTTGCCACCAACTACCGTGACAACGTGTTCTCCCCGGACACTGCGGCCTTGGAGGAGCCGAGGACCTTCCAAACGTTTGGCAAGGGGTCGGGGCCAGAGCTGAGCCCAACAGGCACACGGCTGGCCAGCACCTTCCTCTCGGAGATGAGCTCGCTGTTGGAGATGCTGCTGGAGCCGCGGGCCAGCGTGCCCGTGGAGGCTGCCTCCGAAGTGCTGCGGCGGCTCTCGGTCTGCGGGAGGACCCTCAGTCTAGACCTGGCCACCAGTGGGGCCGCAGGCACGGACGTCCAGGGGGACCCAGGTGGAAAGAAGGGGACCGAGGGCAGGACCAGGACCAGCAGCAGCAACAGCAACAGCAGGGGCCTTTGGATCCAGGAACCAGGGGCCCCGGGAGATGTTAGGGAGTCCCGGCCCTGAGGGCCCTCGGACATGTTCTGGTTTCTAATATTGTTGAACTCACTGAGCAGAAGTGGCTCGAGAACTTTAGGGTGACTGATGTTGCCCCACGGAGGGGACAGGGGCCTAAGGACTAACAGCTGGCTGACCAAAGCAGCCCCTTGTTAGGAGCTAGCTCTGCCTCTGGATTTCCTGGAGGATGGAGATAGTGAGTGGCTGAGATAAGTGTTTGCTGGCAAAACACAGGTAGAGCACAGAGGGCTGGTCCTCGGGTGGAACAGATGCCACGGAGTGTCTGTCACGAGCAGGAAAGAATGGCCTTGTTGCATCCTGGAGGGTGGGGGGCTGCATCCTGCGGTGCCAGGCAAAGCTCTCCGACCTTCTAATAAAGGAAAAGCAGTGGCTTGTTCGCCTGTTTACACCCCTCAGGAGGGACGAATAACAGAGTGATAGTTCTTTGTCCTCCAGTACCTGTCAAGTGGGTCAGGCTGGGCCTGGACAGGAACAGGGCACGTTGGTGCAGTGTTAGGTACGCAACGAAGGACATGTGTACTCTTGATCCCACTCCTCCAGTGCTGCATTATCAAATAATCCGCTTCTCAGCTGGAAAATTAGGGCTACGAAAAGCGTGACTATTTATAGAGCATTTACATGAGCCAGGCACCAGGCTTACAATAGAATTTAATTAATAATTTCTCGACAACCCTGAGAGGGAGGTGTTATTATCCCCATCTCACAGACAAGGATATGAGCCATGGAGAGGCTGGGTGTCTTGCCCAAGATCAAGCAGAGAGCAGAGGCAGTGCTAGGACTCGGAGCCACGTTTGTCCAACACCAAAACCCATGCCCTTGACCTTGACACTACACTGCCAGCCACGGAAAGGAACGGAAAAGCCCCCAGAGGTGAGCTCTTGTCGGTAGCGGACTTGCCTGAGCTCCCCTCCAAAAACATGGCTGAAGAGTATTTCCAAAGCCGCGCAGGCCTGCACGTCTAACCACCAAGCCCGGAGTGAAGGGGATTGATCTGACCTGACGCAGGCCTGGGCCTCTGCAGAATCCTGTCCTTTCCCAGGGAGCAGCCCTTCAGGTACAGACATCATCTTCCCAGAAACCACCATTCGTAGGGAAATCTTTGTCACAGCAGGTTTGGGCCTGTGAATTCAGGCGCGGGAGGAGAGTGTGTGAACCAGCTCCATGAAATCGATAGTGACAGCAGCAAACCTTCAGGGGAGGAGGGAGTGAAGAAACAGCAAATATCTTCCCAAGGCTCAGCCTTATCATTCTCTTGGAAATTTCCAAGCTATCATTCAGCTAGATTCTCCATAGCGTGGGGATTTCCTGGACACTGAGGGCAAAAATTCCTTTTTCCTCCTTTGGAGCTCAGTGCTCATGTTCACTGTCCTTCATCCTCCTAACTAGGGCTAATGATGCCAAGCATACTTAGAATACAGTGTGGCGTCATTATTCCATTGTCCTATTTTACAGATGAGGAAACTGAGCCCCAAAAGCTAAGTGTTTCAGGAGCAGGGTCTCTGATCACCTCAGCCAAGACAGAGTGATGATCTCCTTACAAGATCTCCTTACAGTCTGACCAGCCAGGTGCCCGGCACAAAGCAACATATGATGAATACCCACTGAATGAATGAATGAATGAAATAAAAATGTTTCAGAGCTCCCTTTTATCTATATTGGAGCTCCAGATAAAGCTCTACTACAGGGGTCCTCAAACTTTTTAAACAGGGGGCCAGTTCACTGTCCCTCAGACCGTTGGAGGGCCGGACTATAGTTTTAAAAAAAACTATGAACAAATTCCTATGCACACTGCACATATCTTATTTTGAAGTAAAAAAACAAAACGGGAACAAATACAATATTTGTATTTGCATGTGGCCTGCGGGCCGTAGTTTGAGGACCCCTGCTCTACTAGGACCAAAAAAAAAAAGGGTTCCATATGTAAAAGCAAGCCTGAAAACCATAGCACCAGACAGGCTGACCTCCCATTTACTAGTGGCTCTTCAGTACAGAGCTGATGTTGGGAGGGTGGACAGAAGAGATGGGGGAATGGTGACCTGAGGAACCTTGAAGCATGGTTGGCAACTAGAGCATTGGATATACTGGATCACTGCCTCCTTCCTGTTCAAAAGTCCTAAATCTGTAGACCTTGGACCTCCCACCCCCACTTCCCTGAATTCTAGGCAAAACTTTGTGTATAGGCATTTTCCTAAGTAGAAGACAAACAAAGTTCTCATCAGATACTCAAAGGAACAGGTGACCTATAAAAGGTTATGCGGCACTGCTCTAAGTCACAATCTAAACTTCCACAGACATGGGTAATTTTGGTTATCAGGAGTCTGAACATTTTATAGCAAGGAAATGGCAGGACAGAAAAGGCTGACTGGCCCAAAGTCATGTGGCTGGTTTGTGGCAGGGCTGGGATTTAGGATGAAGTTCGTTCTAATATATCAAGGGTTCTTAACCTGGGACCCATGGGTGGGCTTCAGGATCTATGAACCTGCTGAATCGCTCATAAGATTGGGAAGTGCATTTTGCTACGGGAAGGAGTCAGTGCTTTCATCAGATTCTCAGAGGGCCTGGGACCTAAGTAAGGTTAAGGACCATAGCAGTCCTCTAGCTGGTCCTCAGTTTGACTTTCCTGCAAAGCCTGGAGAACTCCTGAGTAGAGCTATTCTGAGGCACCAGCCTTTGCTCAGGGCGGGGGTGTAGGCACTGGGGGTTGTACTCTCGCCTGCACCATGTGACCCCCTCCTAGCACGCTAATACCAGACAGTATATGTGGGGACAGAACTGAGTGGGCTGAACAGGAAGGTCACAGAAACTTGTTGACGTCAGCTGAGATGTCAAAGCTGAGACTTTGGACATGCTCAGAACAGTTTCCCAAGATGGGCTCTGTCCCCTGGGAGACTGAGGGAGCAGGCGAGCCAGCAAGCACTCAGTTAAAAGTCGTCTTAATTTGGAAAGCGCAGTTTTTTATCAACAGTCAGCTGATCTTCAGCACCAGGAGTGGAATGCAGTGCTCACTCTGAGCCTGGGGCAGCTCAGAGATTGACGGGTGGCCTCCCTTCCCTGCCTGTCACCTGACTTCAGCTTGGCAGCTCACTGACCCTACCTCTTCTGGCTGAAACAAGAGTGAGATGGTAACCACCACCCTTGGGACGCTGGGGAGAACCACATCTCCAAAAGGAGAAGACAGGAGTGGAGAGGCTCAGCTGGGCACGGAAAGTGTACCTAGAAAGTAGGTCGGCATTTTTCAGCCCTACTAAGTATTGGGTACACGGTAGTGGGTGGGGCAAGGAGGGAGGTATGATCAGAAACACTCAGTCAACAAACATTTTGTATCTGTTGAGAAATTACTATGCATCAAAATCAGTACTGAAGGGGGTGTTATAGAATCAATCTCTTCAACAAATATTTTAAGCACCTACTAGGTGTGGGGTAGGCTTGATGTTGGGTGGAGAAGGGGCAATGCATAGAATCACTCATTCACTGAATAAATGTTTAATGAGCACTGTATTAACACAAAGACATAATGAGCCAAACAGCCTTATTCCCACTGTAGCATCAGGGCTCTCTGAAAATAGTACCTCCGGATAAGGAAACTGAGGCAGCAGAGCCTCCTCCCACAAAGGTCTCATTGCTGAGGGCACCAGGCCCTGAGCCTCAGGTCACCCAGCATCCTGACCCAGGCTGGCCCTGCTGGCAGGGGCCACCTCCCTGTCCTCCCCCCACATTTCCTTTCAGGGCCCTGACAATGAGTCATTAGTAAAGGAATTTTAATGGCAAAAGCACACAGTTCTGGGTCTGTGGAGGAAGACCATCCCCTGGGGCTGTGTGGAGACCGCAGTGACTGAACAGCCAAGGATTTCTGGTCCCTTGAAAACATCTCTCTCACGACTTTCCCATCCTTCCCTCTCCACAGCGAGAGCTTAAAAATATCCCACCTCCACGCTTGCCACCTCAAATGGAACCAGTACTTAATTTGTAATGACTGAGGGGGAAGGAGGGCCGCATCTGGCCATCACCACACGACACCGAGTGTCCCTGGACAGTCTGAACTGCCCCTTGGTCCAGGCATGGTCAGGAGGCAGCTGTAATCAGAGAACCAGAAATGCTAACAGGAAGGGAAGAGGCTGGCTCCCCGAGCAGTGACTTTTCCACAGAGGTGCCCCTCGGAGGCTCATTGGCGATCTGCAGGGTGCCGCTCTGTGCTCAGCTCCATGAGGGAAGCATCGGGTTAACCACGCTCTGTACTGCAGGACTTCTTGGAACCCTGAATATGCTGATGTGCTTTGTGAATCTATAAAAAGGGGACGTCTAGTGCAGCGCTTCCCAAACTTATTTGACCACAGAAACCTTTTTTTTTTTTTTTTTGCAGAGATTACTGCATGGCACAGCTTAAAACCCTGAGCTTTAACCAATGCGTGCATGGAGCCCCTACCTGCACGGCCCCGTGCTAAGTGCTGAGGATACTGGAATAAAAGAAAGACAAGGCCCCTGCCCCACGGGAGGGCAGTGCAAGGCCAGTGTGTAAGGCAGCCCTGGAAAGGCAGCAGGGGCAGGGGAGGCAGTGGAGCTAGAGGAAGCTTAGGGCTCCAGCAATGACAGGAAAGTGACAGGACCACTAAGGTTGGGGAAGGGGGGAGCAGCAGGGAGGGAAATGTGGACACTCCCCTCAATTCTTCCCACCTTTGAACTGGCCGAGCTGGTGGTCTTTCCCATCTGAACAGTCACTAGGGGTTTTGGTCGTCAGTCCCTCCCACACCCGACTCTCAACCACATCTATGCTATTGAACTTGGGCTCACATCCAGAAACCAGGGCACAGCTATTCACAAATTCAGTAATTGAAGTCATTAGCGTTGACTCAGAAATCATTTTTTCTAAGTCTCTCTCTTGGAGAAGCTTTTAAGACCCTTTAAATTGGTTAATGGAAAGTTTAGAGACGAGAATGGAGCCTAGGCTGTCAGTTCCCCGTTCCCGTCTCCCTGGCTCTCCCCAATACACTCAAGGGCAGAGTGATGAGATAATCCCGTATCTGCTTTATTAAACTCCATGCATTTCTGGCACACCCTTCACAAGCAAAGACCACTCAAAATCCACACTCTCCTGCTCCAAGAGTCCAGGTACTCGATCTCCATTCACTCCCTCACATCCACAGGACAATAAAAACACTTCCACGTAAAATTACAGTGTGAACAGCACAGAGAGCCCTGGACCAGGAGTCAGGAGGTCTGGCACTCCTCCTGGCCTGGTGACTCATAAAGCCACGTAAACACATATGCCTCCTCAGGTCCTGTCCACAGTGCAATGCCCACACCAGCCCTGCAGAGTCGGAGGGCAGACACCATTGCTCTTGGTCTACAGCAGAGGGACAAGGCGGTGAGTCAAGCTACTCACTGCTTCAAGGTGACGTGGCCATGCACAGTGACATGGCCAGAACCCGGGCCTCCACACACTCTCCTCCTCCTGACGGTGCTGGGGCAGGTACTTAAGGTTCTTTGGGAAGGTGGGTGGATGACTGGCCTCTTCTTTGGGACTCAAGTTGTGGTATCTCTCTGAGAGCCCACAGGCTCCATCTTTAGGGCTGAAGTGAGAAGGTCTGAAAAAGGTCAAACAGACACATCAGGGATTTAGGCAAGAAAACTCCTTACTTCCCAACCAGACACTCATGAATCCGTTGGAGAGGAACAAAAGCGAACTGATTCAGTGTTCCCCGCGTTTTAGCTGCTCATGGAACCACCTCAGGACTTTTGCCACCTCTCTGGATCTGTGTTCCCTTCTACGCAATGTCACAACGCTCTCCTTGAACTGGATTCACTGTTCTTAATGTCTGTGAAACTATAATATGCTAGTCACATTGTTACATGATATATTAAATATACACTACTAAAATAAAAACTATCAATTTGAATACCACCTAAAATCCTCTTGTGAACCACCAGAGGCACACGTATCAGATGCTGGCAAAAATCTGATGTAGTCTTGCCCTGGCCGGCGTGGCTCGGTGATTAGAGCACAGGCGGCACTTGCGTGCGTGTGCGCGTGTGTGCGGCAACCAATCAATGTGTCTTTGTGACATCAATGTCTCTCTCTCTCTCTCCCCCCTCCCTTCCACTCTCTCTAAAAATCAATGGAAAAAATATCCTCACTCCTCTGGTGAGGATTAATTGAAGAAAAAAAAAGATGTAGTCTAAGCTTGAGGAAACTATCGGGAGGGAGAAGGTAACTGATTTGCTCCAAGACAAAGGCTGAGGTGAGGACCTGGGTCTCCGGAGCATTCAGTGCCGTTTTTCACACGTCACTGAATGAATCCTTTTTGTGCACAGACCAGAAATGCCTGTGACTTATCCACTGCTCATCTGTGAGGCTACCAACTGAGGGGAAAGGTCAACGTCATTTATTAGCCATGCACTTGAAATTGCTTGAGAACTTGGCTCCCACTTGATTTCCACCCTGGAAAGGCATACTGACCCCTATCTTTATTGCCATCCAACTTCCTCCCCGCCCTCCCCCTGCACCAGGGAGAGGTACCGGTGACTGATCTCACCTTAGCCAAAACCCAGCCTGACGAGACTCCTTTCCAAGGAGTGTGGGGGGACAGCCATATTGGGGGCCTTGGGGCTGGCTCTGAGATGGCCACTTCTACAGAGGAGGCCAAGGTTCCCTGTGCTCCAGGCATGTGGGAGGCGCGAGGCTCCTGCCAGCAGGGTGTTCAGGCTGCAGAGGGAGGGGCTGGAGAAGGACTTCAACCCTGTGACTGCCAGGTCCTTGGGCCCCGAGGCTGCGAGGAGAGGTGAGAGTAACTCTTACTCATGCTGTATTCTTGGACTCCTATTTTGGAGCAAGGAATTCTGAAAGACTTGGTTCCCCCTGGCACTGTTAACCCACCCAGCCCGAGTGACTCATGGGCGAGCAGGGCTCTCGGAGCCCTCGCAGGGTAACGCAGGGTGCCGAGGCAGCCTCAGGACGTTGTCTCTCCTGGAAAATCACCAGGGCAGCTGCCATTTATTTAATACCTACCGTGTGCCAGCCTTGCTGAGCCCTTTATAGTCATCTCATTTAACCCTTACAACTACTGGGTGAGTCAAGTACTACTAGTACCTCAAAGTCAAAGGTGAAGAAACTGAGGCTCGAGGACATAGAGCCCAAGTTCAGTGACAGCACAGGGGTCAAAACAGGTTTGTCTGACTCGAAAAGCTGTGCTCTTACCCAACCACTGGGGCAGGAAATAGCAAGGAGACCAAGAGCGATTGCCACCCCCTTCTCTGATGGGGAGGGGCCCTGTGGGCTTTGACCTGCACCTGCACCTGCTGCCTCCATGGACAAGAGGGTCCGCAGCCTCTCCCGGGCAGGCTCATTCCCCAGAGCCGCTGACTGCTGGTAACATCGCACAGCCTCTCCCAGGCTCCTCTGCACACCAAGGCCCTTCTCATAGCAAATTCCCAAGTGGTACCTGCTCTGTGAGTCCTAAAAGAGAAAACGGACAGACACACAGATACACACTGCTTGCTTTCATCCATGAAACAAACGCTAGGCCATGCTGCCTGGATGCCAATGCCCCCGGTTCACAGACACCAGACATCCGCCAGCAACAGCTCGGGGTCTTCACTTCACGTGTCTTCTGGATCCCCTGGATTACAACACGTGTAACGACGCACCTTCTGTCTGTACAACTTACAACATGCTTTCACACCTGTTATCTTAGTCAGATTTTGATCCTCATGACAACCCTGTGAACTAGGAGATAGGCAGGCATTACTGTCCTAATTTTAGAGATGAGGCAACAGGTTTGGATTAATAAGTGACCAGCTCAGTAGTGCATTGGTTAATGCGTAACACCTGGCTCTGCGGGAGAAAAAGCCCTGATCTGTAGCATTCAGCAATTTCCATGGTGCAAATACTCTGGCCATCATTGATTTTACATATAACAGCTCTCACAGGCTGGTCTGAGCCAGCTCAGCACACCACTGGACTTGCGCAGGTCACACGTAAATCAGCAAGAGCTTGAAGCTGGCCCAATGCTCCTATCAGAAAGTCCCCTAAACAAAACAGAACCCAGTCCCAGCTCCAAAGTCCTTTCCTTTATCAGAGCGGGTCCCCAAGATGCCTGGATATTGGAGATCTCATACCCCATTGTTGGCAGCAAGCCAAAGATACTGCACAGCTCTCTGCTCGTCCAAGTATGGCTCCTTGGTGAAAAGCACCCCGAGGAAAGCTTGGGCCTGTGGTCAAGAAGGAAGGAAAAACATATTTTGGTTGCTGCCAGGCCCCACCCACCCCAGGTGCCCGGGAGAGACCCCACCCATGGCCCGCACCTCTCTCAAGCCTGAGTCTGCAGCCTGCTTCAGCATGAACACTGCCCTCTGCCGCTCAGGGTCCCTCGAGGGGGTTGGGCCTTGTAGCAGGCACCTGGCATAGCGGTACTGAGCCAGGCTGTGGCCCTGGCTGGCAGCCAGCTGGTAACAAAGGACCGCCTGGGGCAAAGGGAGAAACACCGTCACTGCAAGCGGCTTTTTCTTTGATTGAAAGTTTTAAATGTTATTTTAATTAAATAGTACATCATGATTACGGATTAGTCAGAAAATGCAGATAAGCCAAAGAAAAATTTAAATACAACGAAAAATAGAAACATACACTCCCAAGAAATCCTGCCTCCTAAAGATCATTCTGTTAACATCTCAGTGTACAGCCTTGCAAATTTCTTCATATATATGCTTACATATGTACACATATATACTATATATATTTACACACATAAATATGTGTCTAGAGGGAGAGAACTACATTCACTATTTTGTGACCTATTTTTTCATATAACAATACACCATGAATGTCTTTCCCAGACAATACATATAGATCTAGCACATTATTTTTAAGGCCCACAGAGATGTTATTAACCAATTCTCTACTGAGGAAACTTCAGGTTGCTTCCCTTTTCTTTGCTATCATATATAATTTTAAGAAATACATTCTTGTATATAACATCTTTCTGTACTTTTTTTTAAAAATATATTTTATTGATTTTTTACAGAGAGGAAGGGAGAGGGATAGAGAGTTAGAAACAATGAGAGAGAAACATCAATCAGCTGCCCCCTACACACCTCCCACTGGGGATATGCCCACAACCAAGGTACGTGCCCACAACCAAGGTACCTGCCCTTGACCAGAATCAAACCCAGGACCCTTCAGTCCGTAGGCCAGCGCTCTATCCACTGAGCCAAACCAGTCAGGGCTATCTTGCTGTTTTAGAATTAATTAACCCACTCACCATAGTAATACTCTAGGCCCTGAGGGTATAGCTGCAAAGAAGAAAGACCAGGGCCCGACCTACCTGAGTTTGAAATCTAAATTCCTAGAAGTTAGAGCTTTGTAAAAATGTTTCCCGCACAGGTGGGAGAGAGACTGGACTTCCCCACACCCTGCCCACTGCTCATTTCCGGAGGTCACTCTGGGCCTTGTGGCACAGGGGATGGGTCTGGGGACAGGAGAGGAGGTTGGTACCTTGCCAAGGTCCCTGGAGGTGCCTCTGCCATATTCATGACACAAGCCCTCGTTGTACTGTGCTTTGCTGTAGCCACGCTCTGCTGCTTTCTGGAAGTAGGAAAAGGCTGCCGTGTGGTTCCCATTCCTCACATTCTCTGTCCCTGTAAGAAAGCACAGGGCGTAAACGCTCACAGCTTCCCCTGGGAGCTTCCCCACATCCTCGGCCAGGTACCCACAGCTTCTTCCTTTCTTTTTGGTGCTGGACATTTGCATGTATTTCCATTCTCCGAATATTTCACTGGTTTGCCATACACATCAATGGGCTCTGCCCTCCTCTACACCATCCTCCTCTTGGCAAAAGGATGCCGATTTCCCTTTGGGACTAGCCCTCCCTTCAGTGCTGTCAATCAACGTGTCTCCTCTCTTCCCAACCAATGAGAATCTCCCTCAGAAATCTGACTCTTGATCTCTTTGTGACAGGAGAGAAACAGCTTTTGCAGTTTATTCTGAGGACAGCACTTCGAAGGCACTATAGGTACTGCCCCCTGGGTCCACGGGCTTCCCTGATGCCTGTCCGTTCTGAGGCTCGGCAGGTCAGCAGGTCTCAATAGACTCCTGTTGTGTTTTAAGTTAGCCAGAGTGGGTTTAGGCTGTTTGTGACCAACACAACCTCACACAGCTGATACTGTTACTGTTGCTTTATGACAACGCTGTGAGAGAGAATATAAGAGAGCCAAGACCTGAACTCAGGTGTGTCCAAAGCCCAGGTTCTTTTATCCTCCAAATAAAAAGGAAAACAGGAGAGGGGCTGGGCACAGCCAATTCTCAACGCTAAGCCTTTGCTCAAGCTGTTTCTCCTGCCTGGGATATCTTTTTCTGCCTCCACCATCTGGCCTTCGCATCCTGTTTCTGCTCTAGAACCTGCAGACCACACTCAGGCTTGAAACACTTTTTTGGCACTTACTTAATATACGAGCTTTTTTCTCCGAACTAAAATGTTTCAAGAATATAAGCCCTGTCTCCTCAATTAGACTAAAATCCTGGAGGCAGATGCAGAAAAAGAATGCAAAAGAAATAACTTTGCATAGGGTGAAAGCTCTATACAAATGCAAAATATGATTATGGCTTATGCTCCTTTTGTGTTCTGTCACAGTGCTTAGCACTTGCTGAATAAATGAATATATGAATGAAGGAATGGGCAAGAAAATTCTCAGAAGAGACTGTCTGCCCATCAGAATCACAAAAAGCTAATGAGGCAGAAGCCAGGTTGCATTCAGCCGGCAGTGAACTGAAGTCGCCTCCCTGCTGCCTGAAAACCTTCCCACCAGGATTCAGAGTCCTCTTGCCCTTGAGAAGGCTCAGAGGGCAAAGGATCCCACCGTCCCCATTCCCCACACTGGCTCTACCAACATACCCAGATCCATCTACCCTTCTCAGTCTCCTCTGCCTCTAACCTAGACCAAGCCACCATCACATTTTGCTTAGTCATCAGCAACAGTTCAACCCAGTCTCCTGTTCCCTCTCTGGCATCCCTTTAATCCACATCTGTCTACAGAACGGCCAGAGAGATCTTTAAAAAAGTAAATCAGATCATGTGACTGCCCTTCTTCCTGCACCAGTGTAAAACCCTCTAATGCAGCGGTTCTCAACCTTGGCTGCACATTAGAATCACCTGGGAATCTTTTTAAAATTCTGATTTCTGGGCCTCCTCCTCCGGAAATTCTGTTTCTTTGTTACTAATGTTGTGGCCCCACCCCATAACAAAGAAACAGAATTTCCGGAGGAGGAGCAGAAATCAGCAGGTTTTTCCACCCCATAACAAAGAAACAGAATTTCCGGAGGAGGAGGCCCAGAAATCAGGATTTTAAAACGATTCCCAGGTGATTCTAATGTGCAGCCAAGGTTGAGAACCACTGCTCTAATGGCTTCCTGTCTTAGCAAATCCACACTGTACCATGGCTCAGAAAAGCTCACTTGATCTGGCCCCTGCCAGCTTCTCTGACTTCATTCTCCCTATGATCTCTAAGCTCCAGACACACTTACCTTTCTTTTGTTCCTCAAAAAGCAAAATCAGTCCTGCCTCAGGACCTTTGCACTTGTTGTTGCTTCTACTTGAAAAGCTGTTTCTCCAGATGGAAACAAGACTGGCTTGTTTTTGGTAATCAGGTCTCAGCTCAAGGATCTCCCCATCAGTGAGGCCTTCCAAATTAAACGTTCCTTGCCCAAATTATGAACACACTCCCCTGTTTAATTTTGGTCATAACATTTATCACCATCTGAATTCTCTTTATCCGTTTGCCAATGTATTGTTTTTCTCTCCTTCAACTCACATGTTAGTTCCACGAGAGTAAAGGCTTTGATTGTCAAACACTAGATCCCCAACACCTAAAATACAGCTGAGGAAAAGGTGAATGCTCCATAAATTTGTTCTGAATGAATCCCAGCCTCTCACTCACCTGCCTACCAGACTCCAATAGATGCTGCTTGGGAGTCTGGGTCTCCACATTAGAAGGCCTGAAACTTAAGACAAGTCACTATGGAAACCAGGACACATGGTGGAGAGGCATCTGCAGTCTCCAGATGTGGGTAAGAAGTTCTTACTCATGCACTTGAGGGCCTGCTCCAAACCTCAGGAGCCCGTTCTTGCCTATATGTGGCAGAGCATGCAAGGTGTTCTCCAAGATTTATTTTCTCCTTCTTAATAGTAGGCATATGGTCATTCAGCTAAAGACTACATTTCCCACTCTCCTCTGTGATGAGGGTGGCCGTAAGCCTACATTCTGGGCAATGATTTGTGCAACTTCTCAGTCATGTCCTTAAAGGGAAGGAGTGGCCCTTTTGTTTTCCCACCTTCCCCCCTCCAGCTGGCTAGAATATGGCAGGATTTAGAATAGCCAACTAGGACCTCAAGATAGGAACCAGTTTGAAGAATGGCAAACATGTTTGAATGAGAATGGGTCCCTGACACCACAGTGCCCCCATGCTAGACTTGTTTACTTACCTGGGAGAAAAGAAACTCTCTGATTTAAACCAATCCCTACCGTGACTCTATTTGACCTTCTCCATACCCTTTCCGTTTTCCCATCTGCCTGCCTTGAGGGAGGGTCCACCTAGTTACCTAGGAAGTTGAAAGCGATGGAAACACTGAGCTGGAAGAGTTGCTGAATGGAAGTCACAGCCTCCTCGAGGGAAAGCGTTTTTGATTTATCTTGTTCCTGGGAAGAAATACAAAGACTCACCATGGGGGAGTTCACTGGGATTGCCACCTGCCCAGAGCAATGTTAGAAAGATCCAGGTGGCCAAATCTGGACAATACCTGCTTTTCACCAGTGGGCTGAGGCTGGGTTGGTTTTGCCTGGGAGCTGAAGCTACTGCTGGCATGCAGGAAGCTGACATCACTGGGATCTGCAAGGGAAAAGGCCAAAAACCAGCCAGGGCAAAGGAGAAAGTAATTTCTCCTTTTCTCCCACTTTACCAGTCTCCCAGCCCCTCCAGCCAGCACCACTGCCAGGAACCACAATAACTGTGAACTACCTCAGGAAGCCTGGGGCCTCACAGGAATGACAAGTCCCTTACCTGGCATATACAACAAGAAATGTTCATCAGTCCAACTCCCCACCCCGCCCTGCCTTCTGCTGGTTCTAGGAGGTAGGGACATACCTTCCTCAGGGGGCTCCTGAGGATCAGCTGCTCTCAAGGATCCGTGTGCGGAGGGGCTCTCGGGCTGAGTGGAGAGTTCTTCCTGGCCCAGCCTGGGTTCCCTGAGGCCAGTGTGCCTGGGAGCTGGGCTGTCAGGGCTGGGGAGAATGTGCCTCCGCAACGCTGGAAGAGCCGGCGACAGCAGTCACATTAGGAGGGGATCAGTACAGTGAACTCGGGGAAGTTTTGGGGACCAAAGGAAGAACTTGGAAACTCCGGTGACACCTCCTTCACAGACCTCCTCCTCCATTTCCTTTGCTGGCTTCCCTCTGCACGGGTTTAGAGGGGCCCACATTTACGCTGACCTCCTGCCTGAAGCATAAATCACTCTTCTGCTTTAATCTTCCAGTGGCAAGGAGGCATCTACTTTATTTATTCATTGTTGTAGCCCCAGCACCTAACACTTTGTTGATGATAATACCGATAATGATGGTACCATAACAATAAGGGCAAGAATTTAAACTAATACTGAGCACTTCCTCTGTGTCTATGTGTCAGGCACATATGACCTTGACATATATTAATTCATTTAGTCCTCCCAAGAAACCTATTATTACCCCTTTTTATAGATGAAGAAACTGAGGCATAGGGAAGTTTAAAATGACTTGTCCAGGGACCCAAGACTAGTATACAGCAGCTCTGGGGCTTGAACCCCAATAGTCTGACTCCAGAGCCTTAACCAATTGGCTTCATTGCCTCTGTACCCTGGTACATAATAATTACTCAATAAAGATTCATTTATTAATGAATGACTGAGCAGAGAATGACTTAACTGGCTCAGGGGTAGACAGGAAGCCACACCCAATATCTACAGTCTACTGCACCCCAGGGGGGCTCCCTCCATGGAAGGTGATGGGAGGACATTGGAAGGTAGGTGTGGCCCACACCCTGGGTGGATGGAACTTCCTCACATTCTCCTTCCTCTGACTTCAGATAGGAAAGGCAAGGAGCTGCTGATGGCTCTTTTCCTGAGGTGTGTCCAGAGATGCTTCCTGGCCCAGAGAAACTCCCAGCCCAGCCCTCCTGTCCCCGGGACTGAGAACTCACAGGAGCACGGATGCCACAGGGGAGATGAGAGGAAACAGTCCAGGGGACTGCGCCAAGAGCTGTGCTCCGCTTGCCGAGGACCTGCTGGCAGCGATGCCTGGAAGTGGATCTGCCTTGCCAGCTGCAGGGCCAGCACAGCCAGAGTGCCCTGGGAAAGACAGCCCATCAGGGACACAGCTGTCACCAGTCAGCCCGTACAGTCCTAGCCTGCAGCTCAAACATCACTTCGAGAAGCTTTTCCTGACCCCTAGTGGGGGCAGCTTCCACTCCACACTCTCACAGCACCCAACTTCCCCTGGGGAACCCTGATCGTACTGGTACCTAAGCAATCATCTCTCCAATTATTCCACTAAGGTCTGACTCTCCTGTTAGTCTTAAAGCACCACGAGGGCAGCAGGAACCATGTCTGTTTTCCTCACCAATGTATCCCCGGCACCTAGTAGGGTGCTAAGATATACATGCTGAATAAACGCACGAGTGAGTCACTGAATAAATAGTCTGAGCAGGCAAAAAGCTAATGTGGTAAGTTGGGGCTTTGCCACAAATGCAGGGACAGGTCAGAGTTCCCCACCAGGCTCACTCTCCTTCTCTAACCTGGCACAACTCTTCCCTTCCCCTCGCCCTGACCAAGCCACCCCACCACACACATCTTCACAGGTGCAGGCTTGTTGAAAGTGTCTCTTCTTCCACAGGTCTGCAGAACACCTGAGCTAGCTCCTACCCAGTGCTGCTTGGTTTTCCCTCCCCCTTCCTACATATTGAAAGGGACACCCAAATACTTAGTGTTGCAACAGGAACTGGGCACAATGACAAACAAGACAGACACAGTTTCTGCTCCAGTGGAGTTTATCATATTCATTGATGGAGAAAGACAAAAACCCAAATACACAGAGAAAGAACTACAAATTATGCTGTAGGAAACAAATCAGGGTTTACACAGAGTGTAAGGAATCAGGGAAACCCTCTCTATTGAGGTGACGTGTGAGCTGAGGCCAGAAAGAAGAGAAGGTGCTGGCATTGTCAATAACAGGGTTATGTACCAGGCACTGAGGAAAGCTTGTGCTTAGGCCCTTTCACGCGGGCAGCAGTGACAGGGCTGAGGGATGGCATCAGGACACCTGGGATCCAGGTCCAGTTTCCAAAAAGACGCTGGGGGATCACCCTAGGGTTTGGATCTTTGGCAAAATGGGAAAATGCTTGCCCTGGCCGGTGTGGCTCAGCTGGTTGAGCGTCCTCCTATGCACCAAAAGGTTGCCAGTTTGATTCCCAGTCAGGGCACATGTCCAGGTTGCAGGCTTGGTTCCCAGTCTGTATGTGTACCAGAGGCAACCAATCGATGTTGCTCTCTCACATCGATGTTTCTCTCTCTTCCTCTCTCTCTCTCAAAAAACTAAAATATCAATAAAATCTTTTTTTTTTTTAAAGGAAAATGCTCCCCTCTCCAAAGTGTGTTATGCCTCTAGTCCACAGCTTCCCAGACAGAAGTACCCCTGTCATGGGAGACACTCCAGGCTCAGCTCTGCTGATGACACGCATTTACAGATGAGACAACTGAGGCTCAGAGAGGTGAAGTCATTTGCCAAAGTACACAGCGTTGAAGTGATAGGGATGAGATGTGACAGACACAAGAATGATGTGTGTGCCAACTTCATTCAAAATACCTTATAAGAACAACCTGTAAGGCAAAGATTCTGCCCTGCTAGATTGAGCATCTGATTTTATAGATCAAATTCAACAAATATTTATTCAGCAACTGTTATGGGCCAGGATCTGTACTAGGTGCTTTTACAAGCCATACTAGGTGCAGCAACCAAGCTATGGAGCATGGTAGGTAGGAGTATGAACTCCAGAGTAAAATCTGGCTCCTCTACTCCTCTACTTAAGAGCTGTGTGACCTTAAGCATGTTACCTAACGCTTCAGAGCCTAAGTTCCCTCATCTATAAAATGGAGATACTTCCCTTACAAAACTTTCGTAAGGATTAAACAAGATAAGGCACATATAATACTTTACTTTAATAAAGAAAATATTAGCTATTTAGCATTATTTATTGTCAGCTCCATGAAGGCAAAAATCATATCTACCTTGTTCTCCACTATTTCCCTAGTGCCTACCAAAAATGCCTGGCTCAGAGGAGTTAAACAGAAGTTTACTGAATAAAAGGAGGAATAAACACATGGAGGGCAGGGGATGGGGAGTGTGGCTCTATATCCCTAAATATGCTCCAAAGTCACGAGTTACTCAAAATTTGGGTGTGGGTACAATGATGCCCGAGCTCCTGTTTCTAGACTACACGTCCATGCAGGATCATTCTCACCCACACTAAGGGGTAAGGACAGGACTGAGGAAGCCTTACCCACGATACTGCATCCCACAAGGTGTTCGGGGAGACACGGCCAGACATCCACTGGAAGGCATCCTTCCATCCATGGGACCGTGGGCCCCTGCTTGTGCCTGGACCTGGGCCATGGGGGTCTGACCTAGATGATGTAATGGCGGTCATTAAGTTCTGTCCCAGGTAAGAGGGAGAGGGGGGCCAGGAGAGGAGACGAGTGAGGGGATGGCAGTATCTTACCTGTCAAAGCTTGGCACAGAGACCAGCAGAGTCGAGGAGGTAGCTTGAGACCCATCTGGGCTGGTGGGCTTGGGGGTCACCCCCCGGAGGCCAGGCCCAAGCAGACGGGGAAGAGCTGTGCAGAGCAACAAAAACCAGTCACCTCCATATAAACAGAATTGAGGCAATGGCAGGCCCACCCATCTTCCCTTTGCTACTTGGAACCCCAGCCAAGGAACCCAGGGATCTCTGGCATCTGACTCTGCAAAAGTTCTTAAAGGATACATGTGGGAATTTTTTGCCTAGTACAGATTCTAGGGTGCCACCCCAGAACCAATAAGCCAGATTGTTCTGGGTGGGGCATCTATATTTTGTTGCCCCTGGCAATTCTGATGCCCTCCTAGGGTTGACAACCACTGTTCTAAAATGACCAGGCATTCATACACAAATTGAAGTCTAGTTCAATATTTGGAGCAGTTTCTAAATCCCGCCTTTTCATTGGCTCTGCCTACGCCACTGGCCTCTACACCGGTGGTTCTCAACCTTCCTAATGCCACGACCCTTTAATACAGTTCCTCAGGTTGTGGTGACCCCCAATCATAAAATTATTTTCATTGCTACTTCATAACTGTAATTTTGCTACTGTTATGAATCGTAACGTAAACATCTGATATGCGGGATGTATTTTCATTGTTACAAATTGAACATAATTAAAGCATAGTAATTAATCACAAAAACAATATGTAATTACATATGTGTTTTCCGATGGTCTCAGGCAACCCCTGTGAAAGGGTCGCTCAACCCCCAATGGGGTCGGGACCCACAGGTTGAGAACCGCTGCTCTACACCTTTTATTGACTCCACCCACCACCTCGTTATTTGGCTCCTCCCCCTTGAATAGCCACACCCATCTCCTTGGCTCTAAGCTCCACCCTCTTCCCACTAGCTCCACCGTCCCCGGGTGTGCAGCCCCGCCCCTCCAGGCCCCGCCTTCCCCCGCTCCAGCCAGGTCCGCTGTAGCTTTGGCTCGGCCCGCCCTCCTGCCCCTCCTCCCATCCCGAGCCTCCGCTGCCTCAGGACGCGCAGCTCCCACGCCCCTCACTTCTGCTTCGGAATCCCGGGAGGCGCCACATGTCGTCGCCGACACCAGAGGCTCGCAGTCGGAAAAGCGAGGCCAAATCGCGGGACAGCGGCTACGGCGG